GGGAAATGTAGGCTTTCTTGGCCTGCTGGCAGCCTGAAGAGGAGGTTCACAGTATGTGTGTACTGCCCAGAAGAACCCTGGTTACCAGACTGCTTCTCTTGCCCTAAACTTGTCTCTCCAACTTTGTCTTTGTTCTGATATCCCACTTAATGTCTGTGGCATTTATCTTTACATTATAAATATATGAATATATATCTAGTACAATAGAGGTAATTGTGATTATTTATGTTATTGTTTAAATTTATTTAACTTTCCTTTTCTTCACTTAGTTCACTTCATTGATTTTTACATTACCTTCATTTTGATATTTTTTTTTTTAGGTCACCTTTTCTTTTTTAAAGAAAAAAAGTGTTAGCCCTGGTACCAGGTTTTCCTCACTTCATACTCCCAAGGACTGCTATTTCTCTGTGTTACTGGACATGAGCTGCTATGTTTGAAACTCTGGATATTGCCTGAGAAAAATTAATCTTTCCACCCACCTTCCTGTGCTGAAAGGTAGCTGTGGAAAACAATGATGTGTTTTTCTAAAGGAAGAGCAGTGCTCACAAAACTGATTCTTGCTGAAGTCTTGCAGGCAAGTAGGTATTAAGGTGGAGTAGACTTGGGCCTGATAGTCTGCTACACGTGGAGCAGCCAACAATGGAATTTACAGACCAAAAAATGAAGGATCATGGTAAATGGTCTAATGCTATGTCCATGATTCAGATACATCTGGATTTTTCAGCACTAGCAAGTTACCTAATCATTCTCTTTTCCATGTGTCTACAGGAGAAAAAGTAATTTGCAGAATGTTTGCAAATAGGAAGAAAAACATTTATGTGTCGTTTCAGTAATGAGCGTACTATTGCTTTCATTAATGAGCGTACTATTGCTTTCAAGTGCTGATGAGTCTAATGTGGAGCTTGTTCTAGCAGTGTATGCAGTTGCAGGGGTTACATTGGTCACTGCAGCCAGACCCCCTGTCTGATAGAAAAAACAAATCCTGCCCCTTCTCAGCTGGTCAGAGGGAAAATCTCAGTCCCTGCGGGTCAGCCACCAATTGGGGAGCAGAGTGAAGACTGTCACAGTTCCTTACAGTTCCAGTTTCCTTTAGCAGCAGCCAAACAAGTGGTCTCGGTTAATAGTTGTGGTCACCCTGCCTGCCGAGTCCACAGAGCTCTTCCTTTTCCCAGCAAATCACACCTCCAGATGGCCTTTTTCTGGGGTTGTTCTTGGCCATGCAGGCGGTGACACCATTACAGCTTCAGTATCTCATGTCTCTCAGTTACTGCTGATCAGACCTTCAGAGAATAAGAAAACCCCACTGGCAAACAGGAATGGCAAATTTCTTTGCGTACGAAACAAAGCCTCTGGATGAGGAGCAGCTGAGGAGCACCCAGAGCAGATCCCTGTCTATCTGTGGGTGTCTCCAGCCGTGTTCTGCTGCGCTTGCAGCACTGATAGTGGCACTCAGTCCACCCTCGATCCAACTGACTCCGTGTACGGAGCCTGGGTAAGACAGGTCTGATAAAGACAGGAGCTTTGCTGGTGACCAGAGCGGTGTTACCAGGGTAGCATCCCTTCGGGGTCAGGCTTGGTGACTCCGGAATGGGGGAGATTACCCAGTCCAGCCCACAGGCCCCCCACGTCGTGGCAGTGTGCCGGGTGGGGCCATGTTTGTGGCGGGGGTGGGGAGCCGTGCGGCCGTGCCGGGCGCCGGGGGAGCGTCACGAGGCAGTCTGGCTTTCTGCTCTGCAGATTGAATTCGTGTCCCCAGGCAGCCTTGTAACAGAGCACGGCTCACCCTCTCCTGACATCCCCCGTGCAGACCTAACAGTTTCTCATGTGTACCTGTCGCCTGCAAGTCAGGGTCACGGTCACTTTGTGAAGGATTTTGGCTATGCCTAAACTGCAGAACCAAGAGCAGTTGTCACCTCCATCTTGAGTGCATCCCCATCGTGACTCTTTCAAGAAGACGCCTTGGCTCATAGCCCTTTTCCTCTATTTCCCTGCAAGGTAAGCAAGGATGCATAGCAGGAAGGGAGACTCTTCTAGCACATGAAACCTTTCGTAAAGTCAGCATGCTGTTGTCTTCCTCTAGGTACAGCTATACCATGCAATATCTTGATGACCACCTAGCTGGAATCACTTTGCAGGGCTGATGGTGTATTTAGGGATGTGTCCTCAAGTGCTCAAGGGTCAAGGTGCTCAAATATCAGCTCTTTCTTTAAATGCTGTTGTGCAGTCAGGAGGAGCAGCATGCTCCTGGAATCGATACGTGCCTGTCATTATGTCCCCAGCGCGTGAGGGTGTGACTTGCCTGCAGCCTGGCACCCTGCAGAGGTGGCCTCCCAGCTGGGGAGAGCTGAGCTGAAGCAGAAGGAAGAAAACCAAGGCAGCACTCTTGCCGTGTATGCAGACTTCAGCTATCTAGCAGTCTGTAGCTGCAGCTCGCGTCACGGCTGTGTGGCTGCAGAGGTGGCACTGTGTGTGCAGCCACGGGAGCTCCCTGTCACAGGTCTGCAGCCTGGGCAGGCCCAGCACTGCTGTGCTGCCCCGGGTTTTAAAATGCAGGTGATCTGTAGCAGGAAGGTAGCACTCTACCTTCTGAAGTCCATCTTGGAGGCCTCTCCTACACAAGTCTCTTGCCTCACACAACACACCTCTGGAGGATTAGCCAATAGAGGAGTGATGTTTTTTTCTTTCTTCATTTTGTTCCTCTTCTGCGGGATCTTTGTGTCACATGGTTTCCCTTGTGCAGCCCAGTACCTGCTTCATTCCTTACAGCCCACCCATGGAAAGGGAAAAAGGAATGTGAGCAGCTCCACTGAGACTTCCTTGCCTTTAAATCTGAAGGGGTGACCCAGGAACCTCCTGAACTTGGAGAACGTCGGTTAAAGCACTGGTGATGCTAGTAATGCTGCTAATTAGTCTTTTAAAACGTTTGGTTGTTTTTTTTTTTCCTAGATTCATTGAAGGAAACAAAATTGAAACCATTTCAAGAAATGCATTTCGTGGCCTTCGAGACTTGACTCACCTGTAAGTTATTTTACACTTGGTAGAGTAATTTGTACTTGAATAAAACTCCCCTGGGGGATCACCATGCAGAAAACCTTCCTTCTCTTCCATGCATCAGCTTCCTCCTGCTGTCAGTAATGTGCCCTCCACAAATTAAAAACTGGCTTTTAAGCAGTTCTTACTCTTGCAGCTCATGCTGGGGCGTGGCTGTGACCCACGGGTGCTGCACCAGTACCACATTCACTCTACACGCGGGTGGTTAACGGTCCTGTTCCATTTCAGCACACTCAGTGATTGCTCTGTGTGCTACATTTGCACCTGGGCAACAAAAAAAGCTTTATATATTTTACGTCTACACAAACTTCAAGCAATCTCCATTCTTGAATAAGAGTAATTAATACATGCCTGTTCCTAGTAACTTACTAACCATGCCAGTGGCTGGATGGTAGCTGATAATTAATAACCTGTAAGTGAGCTTGTAAGTAAGAGCAAGCTAGGCAAGAGACAACAATAATACTAAGCTCTAACTTTCTTTTCTAGTTCTTTGGCTAATAACCATCTCAAAGCTCTGCCAAGGAATGTCTTCAGTGATTTAGATTCTTTAATTGAACTGTAAGTAATACGAATCTCTCTGTTGACTGCTTGCTTGTGTCACTCTTACTCTGCGTCTTACATTCTGGGGTTTGTGTGGTGCTGCATCTGATACCTGCACAGAAATGTTCATTTTGTTGTTGTAGCTTTTCTCATTTTAAAATTGTTTACCTGGTGGACTCCTCTAAAATAACTGCTATTTCTCAAATCACTGTTGCTTCTTGTGATGCTGTATATAGCTTACATTATGTTTCATAGAAATTGTTTTTTAGGGCAATGGAGACAATGAATCTAAAACTACAATTTCTCTGAACATTTTTCCTGTTATTGTTGCATGTATTCCTTGATATTATTTTAGTAAAAGGTATTCATTAAAAAAAAAAAGCTATTTTTTTTTCTTGGTTTTGTGCAGTGGTAGCACATTGCTGACTTACTGTCAGTGTTTTCTTGTATAACTGAGCTTCTAGTCAGCTTCCCTTATTTTTGGCCTGGCTCTCCCAAACAGCAAAGTATAATTGTAAGCCGTAAAAATTGCCAAGGGATGGAAGAACAGGTACTGTGTTGAAATTGCACATACGTTAGTAAGGGAAGGTTAAATTGACTCCACATCTGCAGTGACTAAAAATACAAGCCTTACACCTGTATTGTAATGTAACACAGAAATGGTACCAGCAAGGGCACTCTGTCAAGCAGTGGTGCTGGAGTAGTTGAGAGAAGGAATGGGATTATCCGTGTCAGGGGTAGGTGGTAGAAAGGAGGCTCACAGCAGACAACCAGACTGTCAGGATTTCTTAAGTTACAGTCCTAATCCTATGAAGACTTACAAACATGGGTGACTTCACACATGAATCCCAGTGCTTTGTTACTACGATTATATGTGAGCATATTTCCTAGGTTGCAACAGTTTTTCCAAGGACGAGTCAGTGAAGAAGAGTCCATAGTAAGACAGTCCAAATAAAACTTAAACTTCCCTGTTCTCGGTTCAAAATCAATTTGAGTCTACTCAGATATTTTTAAATTCAGCATGTCAAGGTGATAACAGTTCTGTAGTATTCATATTGCTATTAACAATTCAACATGTTTTCAAATATGTTTATTTCTGTGTGTTTTTTTAGAGATTTAAGGGGAAATAAATTTGAGTGTGACTGCAAAGCCAAGTGGTTGTTTTTGTGGTTAAAGATGACAAATTCCACTGTTTCTGATGTCCTGTGTATTGGTCCAGCAGAATATCAGGATAAGAAGTTAAATGATGTGGCAAGTTTTGATTATGAATGCACCACTACAGGTATTCAGAATGTATATTTCTAAGCACACTACAAATGGTTAAATATCAGAAGTTTAGACTATACCCTTTCGCTTCTGTGATCATGACCTGGGGGGAGGAAAGGGTTGCATACAAAGCACTTCCAAGTACTAGAACAGGCATAAAATGGGAAAATTGCATTTGGAAGCCAAAGTAAGTACCCAGTTTTTATTTGGATTAAGTGGTAATGGCAGAAGAGCTCTGACTATTCATATTCCAAAAGACTTGATTATGACCCGCTTTGTGACTTAATTTTCACCACAGAATGCTTCCTATTATCTGGAACAAGGCCATATAGTAACGGCAGATGAGCTTCCTGAAATCTCTATATTTTACAGAAAGCAATGAAAAGAAGTTCAAATAATGTGGCTATATCTGTTATTTTTATTCAATAGGCCACAATTTAATAGAATCAAATGTAGCAGCAATACTGGAAATCCACTAAGTTGGAGAGAAATGTCCAATAACATTCTGACTACTGTCTTGTTTAGGATCTTGATTTTTATTTTAGGTAATGTAAAGCATGCTGAAGGAAGTGAAGAGAAACTTGCATGTGGTTATGCTTATATTTTATGACCGAACAGCCGCAGTTACCTATCTTTAAATGTAATCACATCATGTAACTGAGAATATCAGCTGTGAGTATTGTTTTTCATCTTTTATGTATATGATGTCAGCACTCTGACTTTCTTCTGTACAGTAGTATCAGAGGAATTCGATCTCATCTGTCATGAAGGCAGTCATCCTCTTTAAGAGACAATAGAAAAGTTGATTGCTAGTAATGTAAAATAAAGTTTCAGGACAAGATATAAAAAGTAATCAAAGGGCAGTATGTAATGGAAAAAAAGAATGAGCTCAGAATTCAAAAATATGTCAGAAGAGCAGCAGAGGTAAAGCATGATTATCTGCTACATAAAAGGATGTCAAAAACAGTAAAGCAGCGTAGCTTAGAATGGTGCCAAGGGTACTTTCCTGTGACTGCCACATCACTGAGATGCAAAAGTACAAAGTAAAAGCAGGCTTTATTTAATTTCAGTCTGGTTTAAATAATTGCCGAGCACAAAGAGAGTGTGAGAACAAACTTTATCCACCTGGTCCTCAGACGTATACGGACCTACTGACCTTTGTTATCACTTTGTACTGAGAAACCTAACTATAAAGTTGCTACAGGCAAAGTTCATCCTTAATGTTAGTCCCTTTGTCTGCTCTAAGCAAAATTGCATCAAGCATAAATCTAATTTCACGTGCAGTAACGTTTGCTGGGGAGTTAAGGTGTTACATGGTGCAAGGATTGCCCAGCTGAGTATTTGTTCAAATGCTATCAGAGAAGTGCTTTTGCAGCACAGCATGTGGCTGTAATACACTCTTCTGATAGTAAAGGACATTTTCAAACCAGTCAGACCCTGGCTGGTGTGAGGGAAGGGTGTGTACCTAACCCTTCTGGCCTGGGGGTAGGCAGCATCAGGCTTCCCAGAGCTCCAGTGTGTGCTGAAGGTGAAGGTTCCAGAAACTGTGAAGCTCTGGTGCCTTTACAAAGTGTGCAAGAGGGACACACTGCATGCAGAAATGACCCGTAAGAGACAAACTAGAGATAAGTCAAGTAGAAATGCAGATCTTCAGGAATGTGTCACCCTTGAGACAGCAGTATGTCCCCTGCACAGAACTGCAAACTCCCTTGCTGGAGCTGTAACCCTCCAGTGGCCTTTGGTGGTCTGCAGTGTCAGGCCACGGATTCTTTTTCCTTCTCTGCCATTGCCTCCCCCAGATCCAAAGGGAGTGTAAACATGCCTATATTAATGCCTCGAGGATTGATCAGCCACACGTTCAGGCTTGTACCATATTGTGAAGTAAAGCAACGTGTCTTGTAGGCAATGCTCTGCAAACATCTTTCACCCATGTTAGTCTTCAGTATCATATTTCCCTCCTTTGCCAGGTGTGATCAGACTTGCCATCATGTGTGGTCTCTGGTACTGTGTGTTGAGCATGACTGGATGTAGGATGTGGTAACAAAGCAGTTGACTTGGTGAAATGTGCATCTCAGTGGCTCTACCAGTTCATTGGACCCACTGAACTGCTACAATGGCAATGGTAGGAGGAGGAGAGATCAAAAGAGGTGCTGCCGAATTTAAAAAAAAAAAAGAAACAAAACAGGAAAAAAAAAAAAAAAAAAAGGGGGGTGGAAAAAAAAACCAAACCAACCCAAAAAGCCAAAGAACAAAGTGGTCCTGTTGCTTCACAGAGAAAGCGATTCCCGGTGTCCATGATCTGCACTTTTAACCCTTTGTGTTGGCATCTCTCTTTTCCACTCCTCGGGGCTTGCATTGTGGAGGCAGGTTTAAGCTGTTTCATGTTGTCTCTTGGTTTCCTCCCGGGGCAGTGTGCGGGGGGGCTGTGCTCTGGCTATAAGCAGGGCACTGGGTAACTGACTTTCAGGAGGCTGGAAAAAGGGCCTCGAGCTCCCACAGTCATTGGAAATGGGCTCTGGGTGTGCCTAGGACCTGCTTTGCCCAGACCTGCAGGCAGGGATCATCTCACCAAGCTTTGGAAGCTTGATTTCCCCTTTCTTTCCCTTGCTGGGCCTGTCTTCTGGAGCGGGTGCTCTTTTTCCCCACTGGCTGGAAGGAAGGTGGTTTGCAGAGTAGGGGTTACCGGCTCCATACTTGCTCCTGTGCTGCTGTGGTGGGAGTCAGGAAGGGATGGCTAATGCTCCCAGGTCCCAGGTAGCCTCACCTGGAGTAGGAGGAGAAGTAGCGCTGTGGGGCAGAAAGCAGAGTTAAAATCCACGGTGTTAAGACAGGGAGGATAACCCTGTGCCACGGGAGGAGAGCAGCAGCCCGTGCAGGCCGCGGCGCAGGGGGGGCGAGTGCCACGTCCTCTTCCTCTCCCACACAGCCCCGTCCAGCGTAAAAGGGGAAAAGCTGGGACACCCTCATGCGCCCCCCTCCGCCAGCCTGTATTCATTGTATGAATGCTTTCTGGTATTAAAGCAAGCCATGTAGACCTACTTACAAAACTAAATTGGGCCCCCAAGACCTAAATTTTTGGCAAGCCAGACATGGCAGCATCTCTTTACTGTATAACTTGTTCCACATTACAGTCTGGTATTTCCAGCTGGTGCTAAAAACAACATTTATTGCTTTTTACTGATTACAAGTGATTTTGTTACCCATTTTTACTCATCCAGTGACTTAAAGAGCCCAAATGACAGGTACGAGTCAAAATAGCTGTGTTAACACTGAATCATTTCTGAATGAGCAGTGGGTTTTAACACACAGACTGGTTTGTTTTGATTCACAGATTCCTTCAAAGTGTTTCACAACTGTTCAGATTTCAAGAGGTGTCTTTTTCAGCATTTTTTTTTTCTCAAGATTTTAAAAATACTTTGATTTCTCTATGACTTTATCTGCTATTGTTCCATCCTTAGCTACCTTCCATGATTTATCACTTACTTTTACTTTCCACATTATTTGGTGTCAGTTTTCTCCAGTTCTTTTATTTTCCCAGTGAGAATGAAGATAACTTTCTTGTTTTCCTACCAGCATTTATGAATCAAGCCCAAACTCTATTTATATTAGTCCCTCGAAGAATGGAGACTGTCATTTCTTTCACAGCTGTGGAATCTGCTCTGTTTGTTTAAATGGTAGTCATCTATCTTTATTCTCCAGAAGTGTTAACTCCTCAAGGGCAAGGCTTTCAAGCATGCAGAGGCAGCCAGTTCTTCATTCAAAACCAATTATCACATAATGCACCAAAATGAGGGACTTGAGTGAGGACTTAATTACTAATTTTACCAAAATCCCTGGATTCTCAGGCCCTTCCAATACAGAACTGCCTGGTGAGGGCATTGTAGCAAACAGAGCTTGAAGCAGAGCAGTGCATGGTTCTGCAGAGGAGCACCCTCGTGGTGGAAGATCTAGAAAAACACTTAGATTTTGAGAAAAAATCTTGTTGGATTTTTGAGTTTTACTCCTAGGCTTTACAAGTTGCTTCAATTCCTCAGTCTTAGTGACTAGAATAAGTTTTCCACTGGGTAGGAAGTTGCAGGTTGGTTGTGTTTTATGCCTAAACTACTTTACAATGCCCCATAAAATATTATGTTAACTGACTTTTTGATTACATCATTTTGTCTGTGGTCTAACCAAAGTGGGATTATCCCCAGGCAAACTTCAGATATCGTTTCACTTTCTGCCTGGTTTAGCATAACACAAATTGCTAGTGATTAAATTTGCATGACTTAAGAAGTTATTGGACTTCAGCTGGAAGTTGCTGTCTCTCAGCTTGAAAAGTGATTCTAGCAAGGCCATTTGACTTGATGGGAAAGCAACTTCCAGCTGTGGCTAAAGAGAATTCTCTCTCCATACCCTGATTTCATTGATACCAGCCAGCCCTGCTGGAAAATCTGATTTCTGCCCCTATTTACCTATTTGATCTCTTTGGCAACTGTATTTCCAGGGGACATTTGCCATTTTGCTGCATGCCTAGCGTGAGCACTTGTAATTCCATACTAATGTTACAGAAAATCAGAGTATTTCACTTATTTTTTCAGTGTAAATCATTATTATCAGTGAGCACTTAAGTGTTTCCAGCAAGGATGTATCCTAACTGTTGTGAATGTGTGTTTCTAGATTTTGTTGTTCACCAGATTTTGCCCTACCAGTCAGTTTCAGTGGATACATTCAACTCAAAGAATGATGTGTTCGTAGCCATTGCACAGCCCAGCATGGAGAACTGCATGGTGCTGGAGTGGGATCACATTGAAATGAACTTCAGGAGTTATGACAATATCACAGGTATATGGACACTGGGATTCCATTCACTGATGAACTGTTGGCATTTTGCAAAGATGACATCCACAGACGGGACCAGATGATGGTTTTTCTGTTGATGGATTAGGGAGATCGAAGTGTGTAATGTTTGGACATGAGTGACTTCATGGAGTAGGGCATCTTGTGAATACCTGCATATTTATAGCATCATAAAATCACAGAACATTTTGAGTTGGAAGGGGCCTTTACAGGTCATCTAGTCCAACCCCTCTGCAGTCAGCAGGGACATCTTCAACTAGATCAGGTTGCCCAGAGCCCTGTCCAACCTCACCTCGAATGTGTCCAGGGACGGGGCATCTACCACCTCTTTGGGCAACATGCTTGAGTGTTGAACCACTGGTGAACCACCCTCATTGTCAAAAATGTCTTCCTTTTATCTAGTCCAAATCTGCCTTCTTTTAATTTAAAACTAATACCCCTTGTCCTGTCACAATGGACCCTACTAAGAAGACTGTCCCCACCTTTCTTACAGGCCCCCTTTAAGTACTGGGAGGCTGCATCTCTCAGCCTTTCCTCCTAGAAGTTCTCCAGCCCTCTGATCCTTT